GTTCAAAATCAGTTTTCCCTTAACAAAATTTTGTGATGACGTCATCAACATTGTTGGAAAGATGCATATGTCACTTTGGATAGGTGCAGTACTAATGATAACACTATTGTTTTCCTAAATTTTCGGGAATACGGAGTGAGCGGTTCCCGCTTTAATCAATAAAATAATATTGACTCATTCACCACCCACTATAAGAAATTTAATACTTTTTAATGCAATCATGAATCACAAGTATAGACTTTTGCACATTTTGGATAGGATTTATTCGGCAAAATTTTGACAAGACGTCATCAATTTTTTTGGAAGGGATAAACGAATACTTTCAAATATTTACAAGATTTCAGAGCAATCGGTTTAGCAGTTTCAAAGTTATATTGCAAAATATTGTTATTTTGTTTTGAACTTTTTCCAAAAATTCTGGATGTCTAGGGTGAAATTCACACACCACAAGTGCAGGCGTATCTTATTTTACACAATTTAAAAAAAAACTTTTTATTGTAAATTTTGGAGATGACATCCTCCCATTGTTGGTGGGGATGATTAGTCAAATTTTAGTTAGCGTTTAACCATCTACATGATATCCTAACATGCATACAAAATGTGACAACAATCGGTGCAGTAGTTTCGGAGATTACTTGTCTAATAGAAATGTATACAGACACTAGACAGACAAACAGATAAAATAGACAGACAGACAAATGGAAACGAGGGACCACATTTTTCGTACTCTAGAGGTCATGACACGTCGAGAAAATATGAAAGTGGCAATTCGGCCGATGGACTCGATTACTATACTTTCTTAGTTACTTACACTCGGGAAGTAATGATATGAATATACTGATAAATCACAAGAATAGATTTTATACAATTTCGATAAGATTTAATCGTCAAAATTTTGAGATGACGTCATCAATTTTGTGGAGGGGATAAATAGATATAATTTGATTACCAGTAATTTCCGCTAATTTAATGCTTACGATAACTTTATAACGTCTGCAACATTTTAAAGCTTTCCGTTTTACAGTTTCTGATTTGATCAATAAAATAAATTAATTCGTTCATTAATTTTTTACCCTGTAGAAGCAATTCTAAAAAATATGAATTGAATGATAAATCGTAAGTGTGGACTCACCATTATTCGGAAAAACTTTGAGATGACGTCGTTAGTTTTTAGGGGGGTTTCAAATTTTCATTAACGATTTACCACCTTTCCGATAATCTTAAAACGTTTACAAGGTTTCAGAGCATTAGGTGTTGCAATTTCAAAAATCTGAATGCCTAGGGTAAAAATTCAAGACAGATTCATAAACTACAAGCGGAAGAGTTTGTTACTTTATAAAATTTAAATAACATTTACTATTGTCTAAGTTGGAAATAACGTCATATCATTCGTTTGTGGAGATGATCACACAAATTTTGGTTACCGTTTTACCATCTACACGATATTTTTAATATACATACAGAATTTGACAACAATCGGTCCGGTTAGTTAAGAATGTAATGAAAATCGACACACATGGACAGGCGACAAATGGTAGACCACAGACTACAGACGGCAGACAGATAGACGAAAACGGGACATCTATTACATCGTACTCTAGAGGTCATGAAACGTCACAAAAACATTAAAGTAACCAGCCGCCCCATGGACTTGATTACAATACTTTCTTAACTGACACTTGGGAAGTAATTTTTTTTCAAAATTCTGAACGTCTAAGGAAAACATAGAGAGTGATTTATAAGATTCAAGTGTAGGAGTATGTTATTCTCTATTTTAAATTCCATAATTTAAATAACATTTACTACACAAACTTATAAAGTGAGGTCATCACATTGTTCGTAAGGATGACTAAAAAACTTTTGATTAACATTTTACTGTCTACACGATATTTCTAATCTACGCATAAAATTTGATAACACTCGGTTATACAGGGATTATTTATCTAATAAAAATCGGCACGGACGGCAAAATTTAAGTATGAGTTACTTTACAAAAATTTTGAGAAAGCGTTATCAGTATCACATTGCTGGTGGGCAAAATCAAGTAAATTTAGTTAACGTTTTACCATTTACACGATATTCTAAAAACCCAGCTGAAATTTCACAATAATCGGTTCTGTAGTCCAGGAAATCATCAATATCGCGAACAAACAACAGACGTGGTACAGAACCGGGAGTTCGACATTTCCGTATTCTCACACTTAATCGTCAACGTTACTTTCTTACTTGTTAATATACAGTTTTCTAATTTGCGCTGAAAAAGTTCCGAACAAATTAATTTCAATTTCTAAACTTCACGATGATTTTTTTGCACGGGAGAGTATACTAGCAAGTTTATACTGTCACTGTCAACAATTTGCACGTTTTTTTTAAGCATGAAAAATTGAACGTCGTTTCATTCTGACTAAATTGGGTCTGACGTACAGGTTGACTTTTAATTAACTTTTAAACTGTTCCTTTTCGAAAAAAAAATCAGATCTGCCTTATTATGTAAGACGAATTAAAAGAAAATATGTCAAAGACGTTTCTCTTGTATTAAAAACAGATATTCGAGTTTCTCTTTTTGCATAAATTTAAATTAAAAACCGTCTTCCTTTCAGAAAATTTAATGTAATTAAAAAACTTCCCAACTCAGCTCTTTGTACATATTTAATAAGCACATTTAATCCGGGCCGCCATTAGCTCGGACATATTTTCGCTAAGCTATTTATATGTAGGGCTATAGAAATTCAAATTGGTCCAAGTTAGGCCATCGCGGGCAAGAGTGCGCTTCCAAGAAAATATTAAAAGTTGGCTGGCTTTGTTTATGGCGAATTGGAAGTAATGAGTTGGGCCATAAGCGCAAAACCTGCGTCATTTATGCCGTCCAATTATAAGCAGGATTTATCCTTGGACCGCCTTTCGAAACTTTTCAAAAGTTCCTATTCTGGTAGATTAGCAGATGTTTATGAAACTCGACTCGGTTTAAACGGCTGTTGCGGCAGGATTAAAAAGAATTATGTCGAGTGTTTTTGTCCGCCTTTATTTATGGACACTCAAGAAAGCTTAATTTGCCCTGTTTAATAATTCCGCGAAAAATTGCGCCCGAATTTATGATAATTAAAGGGAAACGCGCCAGAACCTTTCATTTTCTTAACGAATATTAAACACCTTTGCATTTTCGCCGGTCCTGCGAATTAACTCCGAAGAGATAACATTTTGTGCGTTTTATTCGACCGTTTCGATTTTTACATTTAGATGGGCTAAAAATTTCTCACAAGAGGCGGAGACGCCAGATGAAAGCTTACATAATTTCTGTCTAGCGCAGAGATTGGAATAAAAACGAAACGACGCCCTTAAAGTGCATCCTCTTTATGACATCTTGTTAGGTCTGATCTCTAAATATATACAAGAAAAAATTAACACAGAATATTGAATGTTGTTTAAAGGTAAGATCAAACTCAAACAAAAATTTGCAAAATTCTGCTTGCAGCGCCATCTGATAATCTTATTTATATTTTTTTAAACAGAGGCAAACCTAGCAAACAGATATGTCAGCTACATACAAGAATATATAAGGAATCGTAATTGAGATGCTTTAGGAAAAGAAACGAAATCAGGTTTACTTTGAATAAACTAAAGTGTGTTGTACAACGAACATGTAGGTAATGCTACACAATTTCCGAGAATCTGAAAGCAGACATTATCTCTGCTATTCCAGTTAGAAATAGATAACTGCAGTTAAATGCAAAAATATATAATGAACCATAATTGAAACTTAATCGGCAAGTGTGATTAAGTATAACTTAACTTAATTAATTTTAATTACTTAATTACACACGGGTCTAATTGATGGAAATTAGGAAAGTTAAAACAAATTAAGTGCTAACTCACCACTGAACTTGTAACTAATTATTAATAATTCGACCCACTTATCGTTAATTATATACCACAAACATACGTACTTTAATTAAACAGTTATAATCCGTTGCTTAATATGTTGGATTAATTACACATAGTTAAGTTTATAAAAAAAATATATTAAAATTACGATACACAAATACCGGTTCAAAATGTATTTGCTGATTTTAGAGCCCTCAACTGTTGTAGTTGTAATTTAACTATTGAGTTATTGGAAGTTAATTAATATTAATAAATAATTAGTTCTCACAAATTCGAATGCAACGAATGAGAGCATTGTGCACTGAATCCATTAATTAATTACTGGTCGTAATTAAACAATTCATAATCAATTACAAGATAATTAATATTCAGTGACTGCTTTAATGAAACACTGTATTTATGTACTTATTTTAATTAACAGTAAGTAATCAGATAATTCACTGTTTGATTGCTGCTTTATAATTAACTAAATTTATTTTCAAACCATATATCGATATTACCTTTTAAATCCAGTTAATATTAGGAACATGAATAATATATGGATACCTATCACTGAGAGTTGCATTAAGGATAATATTGTAGTAGTCGTAGAAAAAAGAATGTAGAGACTTAACTAAATACAAAAATACGTAAAATAATGACCATGGATTTTTTGTGTAATAACAATAACCTAATAACTGACATTACCTCAGAAATTTTACTTCATATTTTTTGATACGGAACCAATACAAATTTGATAATTTTTTTTTGCACTAACATCTTTAAATGTTTTTTTAATAATTTTAGATAACTTATAAGTTATAATTATATTAGATGATATAGTTATATAAATCATGTGGCAGCTATGTACTTTAACAAATTTGGGATCTAATATTAATCCAACTCAGATACGTTATTGACAGGTAATAACTTATTTGAGTTAAATCAGAGAGAACATTCAGAGATTGATTCTATTAGTACTGGAAAGAACTATGTGGACTATATGTATAAACAGTAGATATACTTTACAACAATTTCTGTCATAACCAAATTTTTATCTTTCCAAAGTACATACTACTAGAATTAACTAATTAATCATCTTTAACCATGTCAAGTTCTAATTTTCGAATTATTTTCAGTTACGACCTTTCTGAAATCAATTGAACCCGCAGCTAATATTAATGGTAGGTACGACCTTTAGGCATGTAATAAACGTATTTCAAATGTATTGTTCACTTATTGAAGGCGACAGTACTTTCCTTACATTTAATTTTTGCCGCTTTCAAAATTTTAAAGTTTGAAAGTTTACTACCTTCTTATTTAATTATACAGACAATGAATCATTTTTGAATCATTATGATTGTGATGTGTTCATTATAGTGCAAACAACTTTTCTTGCTGAAAAAATTTTACTTTACCGTCACTAGACGTAATTAAGAAACAACCGTTACATTTAAATCAAATTGTAAACAAAGTTAGCAAAATTTCAAAAATAAACCGTAGTCATAAAGTCTCACAGACGTCAATCATAATGTGTAAAAATATACAGGCTAGTTCATTTGAAAAAAATAAGTTGTGTATTACGGCTTAGAAACAGGACACTCTGTACAGGCAGTTAAATAATTTTACAAAAAACCGTATAATTAAATATCAAGCAGGGCACGCTTAGTGACTCAGCCTGTATGTTTTTTACAAACTACGATGTTGCTTGTGCTTCACTATGATCAGAGTAATTTTATGCACAGTGTTACGGTATGGCGATGGATGAGTACGCACTTCCAGTCAGTTATTGACAAATTTTTTTGACGCTCTAAACCGATTCACTTAGAGATACAGTTTGCAAGCTTATCTCTAAACAAACCATACTTATGTTGGCGGAAATGAAAACACCACGGAATCGGTTACTAACGTATATTACATTATGGCACATTACAAGAGAATATTCGACGAGCGTAACATAGTCGCGCTGGTAGCCACGCGGACGGTCGTACCAGAAGTGTCTAAAAATATGGCGTCTTCAAGTGGCGCTGTGTCGCTCTGCGCAATATAGCCATCTCGTGAAGGCGACTACACGAACGAGCCTCGCACGGCCGACACTAGGTGTCGCTCCAACAACTTAAAGACAGTTTTTTTTTAAATATCCTAAATAACCTTCAACAAAATTCATAACAAAAAAAAGCCTACGCAAGGACAAGCTTAAATTTGTTTTGTTATAAAATACAGAGTCTCATTTGAAAAATATGACAAAACCGATAATTTCCAAACCTACCCCCCCTGTGTACATACGTTTAAACTCGATCCTTTATGCTTACGGTAAGGTGAAAAAAATGTTGGATAAGATTCAAACCTCCATCTTCAAGAAAAAGCAAAAATCTTTCAACGTATGTTTCAGAAAATTTACATCTTTCTTTTTTCTTCCCTACCGTAAGCTAGGAAAGCATTCTCATCGAGTCCAACGCTTACTTTTCATATTTTCTCCATGGGTCGTGTTCTTTAGAGTACGAAAAATAGAGTCTACGGTTTCCCCCTGCCTGTCTGTCCGTCCGTCCACCTATCTGTCTGTCTGTCCGCCGTCCGTGTGGATTTTTGTTAGACAATCTCCGAAACTACCGGACTGACTGTTGCCAAATTTTATACGTATAGTTTGAATGTGATGTAATGATAAAACGTTAAACAAACTATCTAATCATCCCCACCAACAGTGTGATGACGTCATCTCAAAATTTTACATAGTAAATGGGTTCTAAATTATACAAAATAACATACTCCTACACGTGTAGTTTATGAATACGTGTTGAATTTATACCCAAAGAAAAAATCAAAATCGTACATTTTGCAATTTTGATCTGCAAAAGCGAATGTTTTGAAATTTTGCAGAGTTTATAAAGTCATTGTAAACACGGTAAATTTTTAATCAAAATAGATGTTTATCTCCCCTTCCTTTCAAAAATGGATTACGTCATCACAAAATTTTGCTTAATACATCCTACCGAAAATGTGCAAAATATGATGAGTCTATAAGTACTTGTGATTTATCATTGCCTTCATAGTTTTAGGACAGATTATACGGGATGACCCAAAAAAATTAATGAATGCATCCATTATTTTCTGGATTAAATCAGGAACCGCAAAATCGAATGTTTTCAAATCTTACAGGCGTTTTAAAGTTATCGTAAGCATGGTAAATTTTCAATCAAAATGTATAAGTTTATCCTCCCTCAAAATGACGCCATTTCTACATTTTTTCGAATAAATCTTATGGAAAATGTGCAAAAGAGAATCCATACTTGTCATTTATAATTGCCGTGGTATTTTTAGAATTGCTTATACAGCATAACTAAAAAAAAAATTAATGAGTCAATGTATTTTATTGATAAAATGAAGAACTGCAAAAAACTTGTTTGCTTAAAAATTTTGTGGACGTTTTAGAGTTATCGTAAGCATATAAATCTTTAAGCAAAATATATCTGTTTATTACCCCTTAAAAAATTTATGACATCATCTCAAAATTTTACCGAATAAATAATAGCAAAAATGTACAAATATAACATATTTTTTAAAATTGCTTATACTGGGTGTCTTAAAAACATGATTGAGTCACTTTATTTTATTTATTAAATCAGGAACTGCAAAACTGAATGCTTTGAAATCTTGTAGACGTTCCAAAGTTATCGCAAGTATGGCAAATTTTGAATCAAAATGTAACTGTCTAAACGGTAGGGTGGTTAAACAGTTATATTTTGATTAAAAATTTACCCTTTTTTATTAGTTAAAATAAATTTTGAAAAATTAATATCTCTCTAATTTTTTATTGATCAAACTAAGAACGGATCACCCGATTTTCTCGAAAATGTGAGAATAAGCACATCTTTATTTAATAGTAATTAAAAATAAGAATTATAATATTAATATTCAGAACATTTTGTTCGATTGTGGCTTAATTAATAAAATTTTAATCCTCTGTTTTAAGGCGACAAATTCATTCAAATCAAACTAAATTTTATGCGACATTCTCAATGTGTAAACATAAACACTTCAAGTTTTTATTATTGCTGAACGGCCATTTTTACTTATTGAGCGTAAACTAAGGAGGTATAATAATCGAGCACATCAGGCGACAAATTGATATAGGTGTCCTCACAAAAATGTTGATGACGTCATCACAAAATTTTCTAATAGAAAAACTCACTTGAACGCTTCTTTATCCTTACTAGAACATTACATACATATCTTTATTTTAACTTATAAGGGTTATCATAAAAAATAAGATTCGCAAAATCAAATCTTATAATTTTTCGGAACAGCTGGATTTGATGAACTGTACTTTATGGACGAGGGAAGTTCTGTGTAAATAACCTTCAATCAATTTTTTTATTTTTCGTAAGGAACCTAAATTTTTGAAATTGTATTATGTATGGTATTCCTTTGAAACAACTTTGATGATGTGGCACTTTTAAACTTTTTATATTTAAAAATACTCACTTAATGTTTGTGACTTTTTTTATCTGGTTGACAAAATATTTAAAAGTTGACATATACCTGACCGTCAGATTGAAATTTATTGCAACAAGTTATTTGTTACATCTTTCAACATCGTTTCCAATGATTCAGAATTGCTACACAAAAAGTTGCTTCAATCATTAATAGTAATTGTGAATTGTCGCCCGACCTAGATTTATTGGATTGTGTCAACAATTTTTTCAATTTTCCGGCAATATACCACTGAGACACTCTGTGCAAATGGAAATGAATATATGTTCGTCCACAAAATTTGACCACGTTGTGACACTAAAATTTTTGAAAAATATTTTTAAAATTTGTTATCAATTTGTATGTATAAATTCTCATATTGTTGCTAATAAAAAAATGTACAAATTTTTAAAATGTGTATACATTCTTAGCACATGTTTTTATCAAGTGTTTTCCAAATGTGCGCACAGAACTATTTATTTGTATTTAACAACATATTTATATTTGCATTAACATGTACAAAATACACTCTGCCCTAACTACCAACCCCTATTTTTAATTACATTCTGCCTCAATTCATGTGTTTTGTAGTGCAAAGAACATGTTGACAAAAAGGACGGTTAATGAAATTAGTTATGCCGTACTAACGGGTTTTGAAGATGAAATTTCTAGTCAAAGGAATTTCTTTGCCTTTACAACTTAACCTGTTTGTTAAACATTCTTTCGTCTCAGACAGGCTCTCAAAGCACCTCCACACTCGAAAATTTTAGATTAAAATCTAAAAACGCATGCACTTAAAGTGGAAAATTTATGTCACGGAAAGCGGTTTCGCATTTTCCTGAGGCACAACTTCATCGAGTAATGCACAATTATGAGCTGTAAAAGTTTGGATTTATGGAGCAAATAATTTTCGTTCGGTTAACCTAAGTGGGTTGTAAATATTCGGGTTTGTATTGGAGTTTTCTTAATATCGGCAAACAGAGAAATTTGAATATGATCGTGATAGCGGTGCGAGCTGTAAATCAGTTGGATTCGTGTAAAATATGACTTTCGGGTAATTGGGCTATTTTGGAGCGGGGGCTGGTGAATAATGACCTGGGAATGAGGACGGATCGGAGAAGACGCAAGTTTATACCTTTCGTTAGTTTTACTTTTGTGTATTTTTGTTTCACAAATTCAATTAATAAAGTAAAATATAAAAATAAAAATGATAAGTCAATCTAACTAACAAAGAAAATATAAATTTTCAAATAATAATTAAAGTAACTTACTGCATCAAAAAAACTTGACTAGAAGCAATTAATAGGTTTAATAAATAACTTTATGGAATTAAGTCATAAGATTTTAAAGTGACTTTTTAAAGTGAATTTTCTGACAATATATTTAATTTAATTATTCCACAGTTAGTATGAATGCGAGTATTGTTCAGAAATGTTTTTAAAAGAGCTAAAAGGTCATGTTGCGGGCAACAGTTAAATATCTGGAGGGAAAGAATGAATGCGAAAAAATACTGGAAATTTCTATAGAAAAAATGAATCGACCACATATATCGAGAATAATAAATAAGATAGATAAAAGTCATTATAATACATTGAATAACACTACCGAAAGAAATGATGGAATTAAAATATGTAACATGAAAATATAATGCAGTCAAAAAATAAATAAACTCCTAATAGTAAATCAACATGTAATTTAACACATACAGAACCTT